CCTTAACAATAGCAACTATAATATTGGAGTCCAAATGGCTGGCTCATGCTAATAGAACTTTGGAAGGGTGCTTTAGAAATTATACTTGTTTCAGTGTGACTTGATGCGGTAAAAGAGTGACTGGGCATTACCCTAAAGAAGCTAGCACCAGCGCAGGAGAGAAAGATCCTCTTATCCTCGTTTTCGCCCAGGAAACGGGTTCAGGAAAAGATAACAAGTAATATTAAATAATATATACACATAATGTTTTATTCACTTTTACTGTTGAAACATTGTTATAGAGCTGAGAACAGTCTGCTTCTGGAAACAAAAATCCCATTCATAATCACCATAGGGAATTAGATTCTTATCAAGCCAGTTGAGCTACGAGATTGTGAGAGGATGGTATGCTCCAATTAAAGCTACGAATCAGTCCGGTTTCAGCTTCCTTTCCGAAAAATCGCGTTTTATTCCCTTATTATAGCAGCAGCGCGGTTTCACTCTCGGATATGATGAGTTTTTTAGAGATACAGAGGACAAGAGAGCTCAGACTAAAAATCATAGTCCGGCCGTGTAGTGGAACGTAGTTTGTGTGAGGGGGGCAGGTGATTGGTTCTGTCAGAGTTAGAAAGACAGCGAGTGCAGGGCTGTGGAGGGACAAACATCATGAACAAATCAATAGATCAACAAAAATTCCCTTTATTCGACACATTAATGCAGCACCACGTTTTTCCACCCTTCAGGCTCCCTTTCAGTGATTATATTTGTCCTTTGGTGCCAAATCAATGAGTATTATATGTGCATAAGGCTGTACGGTCTACAAAATAAAAGCATAATGTCTACAAAGACACTGAAGAGAAAATATAAAGAAAATTGCAAAAGTAGGTGAAAAAAGGAGTGAACTTGATTGGTTGAAACCATTCACAGTGCTTTGTAAGTACACAGTCTTGCACCTTTACCTTTTTGTTCATTTTTCTAATCTTTTTTTGCACCAATTTAATGTTTGTAAGGTCATTTGTCTCGCAGCTCACTGGTTTGCTTGAGTGCTTAAAACTCTTTATTTAAGGATTTCAAAAAATGTCTGTGGAGGAAATTAATGGGATTTTTACTTTCATAACCAGAGCTGCTAAAAAGTGGGCAGTCACTGTCCAGCTCTATCATGGGGCCTTTAAAATCAGGTAGGCAACAGTAAATTGCCCTTTTTTTCTGTACAGCTCAAGTCGGCTGGTGGTTAATTGAGTAATGAAAACTCTCCTATAGCAATGGAAAACGACTTGCTTTTTATTAATATGTAAAGCACACAGGCATGGCTTTGGAAATCACTTGCAATCTAAAGATTCTCTAGTAGGGAGTGTGATTAGCATGCAAGTTGTCATAAATCTGCACCAGAGGTTTATGAGCACGTGTTTGCAGTAACATCTATTAAAACGACAGATGAAGTAATTTTCAAAAGATCATTTAATATGTGGTTTTATTAAAGATTTTCATTAAAACAGTTAATGTTTACAAAAGCATATAAACTAAAACTACAGCAGACATTGAGAATTTTTAGATATCTCCCAGGCCTACAATATTACATTATTTAATATTTGATTTTATTAAGCACTTCAAATAAATCAGTTAATATTAAAAGCATGTCAGCTAAAGATATAGGTCTAAGGAGCAGATCAGTGCTGATCAGGACAGGAGAGCGAAGGAAACAAAGCGTACTTTACTAAAACTACTTCTGATTTATGAAACCTTAGATTTTGATAAATTGTATATATATATATATATATATATATATATATATACACATATATATATATATATATACATACATATATATATGTATGTATATATATATATATATATCGACATATATATATATATATATATATATATATATATATATATATATATATCGACTGACACTTCATTAAGTACACCTTCTTGAATCTACACTCATTGCCAATTTTTTCAGCTCCACTTACCATATACATAATGTAAATATAATATGCAAAATGCAAAATGTCAATTTATTTGTATGTTTGCATTTAAATTTCCCACGCATATATGCAGTTCAAATTCAATTCAGCTATTTTAACTTGTCATTTGGTAAACTAGTACTGACATGAGTAGCTTTTATTTAAATTAAAATGCATTTTTAGAGTTGCATAGTTATGCTTCATATGATTGGTGTCAACTACGATAATTACAATGTAATTTACCTTATATGCATTTTCACTGTCTAATAATGCTTTTGAATTTGCATTATTAAAGAGAAGTCCAAGCTAGAAAGAGAACAAAATTCAGATGTACAAAAGGAACTAACACAATGAGTCATTCAATATTTGCAGTGAGATATTCTTGCCTACTGCACTCATTCTGTGGCAAAATGATTTTGAAAATGCATTTGACCTGATTGTATTTTCTTTTTTATAGACTTTCACCTGTCAGGCATCCCATCAGGTCAGTACCAGCAGCACACTCAGCAAAAATGGCTTTATCTGAAGAATGGTCCCAAGAGTAGTTATTCTTACATTAGCAGATGGGGTAAAGCAGAGCAATATATACCCTGGTGTTGCTTACAATATCTTTATACATGACCTGAAGAGAGTGTTTAATTGAAAGTGTGGCCAGGTTTTCTGGTTTATCAGTCTGGGAGTCGTTGATAAACTTAAGGCTAATGTTAACTTTTTTTTTAAGTTTCCATTTCACATTAAATGGCACTGCAGTAACATTTGGGTACATTTAGGCAGCAGAATGTAACTGCTGCACCATCCAAGGTGGAACAGAAAATTTGAAAAAGCAGGGGCAAAATGACTGCCTCTTACGAGGGGTGCAGGGAGGCCTGCTAGTTGATGCCAAGTAGGGATATTTTCTACATTTTCTACAAAGTGAGTATCTGAAGTATTTTTTTTTTCTTAAATGTTAGGTGTTAAATGTCTAATTATGCTCCTAGCAACCACTGCAGTTTCACCTGTGTTCTACCCCACACCTGATCCTGAAGTCCTTCATGAGCTGGATCAGGTGGGGTGAGGAGGGAGTAGACAAAACTCAAGTCTGTGGGTTGCTAGGAACATAATTAATAATAAAAAGGACTATAATTAAGAAGCAGTTGTCTGCTCACATGCTGTTCTCAAAGAAATGTAATAAAATGTAATGTTTTGAAAAGTTTATTTTCTTGTCATGGTTGTTGTCATCAGGCGGAAGGCAGGATACACCCTGGACAGGTCGCCAGTCCATCGCAGGGCAGACAAACAGACATATACATCCACACACTCACTCACACCTAGGGGCAATTTAGCATGCTGACTGCATGTTTTCGGACTGTGGAAGGAAACTGGAGTACCCGGAGGAAACCCACACAGACACGGGGAAGACATGCAAACTCCACACAGAAACGACCCTGGTCACCCGGCCGGGAATCGAACCCAGGCCCTTTTTGCTGTGAGGCGACAGCGCTACCCACTGCGCCACCGTGCCGCCCCGTACACAAATTCCTTAAAATGTAATTTTATATTTTAGATTGTAGAGTAGTGTTTCCCAACCCTGGTCCAGGAGCCTCCCCTGCTCCCTTTGTGTTTCCCCTACTCTCTACACTCGTGATCCCAACTAGTCATCTCATTAACGAAACTTTCCCTTGTTGACGTGGGTGAGTTGGAGCAGGGAAAACACTCAAACGTGCAGAGCAGTGGTTCTCCAGGGGATTGTTGAATATCACAGCATATGGTATTTTGCCCGGATGTGAGCCGAACAGTTGGACCAGAATCAGACCTAGATTCAAACCGAGGCTGTGCCGAGTGTCACAGCATGCAGTACTCGGCCTGGACGCGGGCCAGTCATTCGGGCCTGACGTGGGCCGATCTAATAAATACTGGTATGCGGAATCGGGCCTAGATTCAAACTGAGTCTGGGCTGAGGAGATTCATGCTTGGTATGTGGCATTTGACTGATTTTTGCTATCTGGGGAAGAAATGCCTTACACCACGACTTCATTATTGTAAAGGTGTAGTCACCCTAGTTAACGTAGACATCGTTTTTCATAAGAAAACTTTATTACAGGTCTGTTCCATTA